CTTCAACACCCATTCATAAGGGGACAAAGACACAACATTTATTTCTTACCTGGCATTTGTATAGGCTTTTTAAAAATGCTCCTTTTCTTTTCCCTGATCGATTTGTCTGGAACTTGTCCTTTCTTTTCTACAGCTGCACCCTCAGCAGTCTGGTTCTGTGACTCTCTGGGTGTGGAGTCACCCTGTGGATGGACCACACTCAGGCCGCTGTTCTCCAGAGCTTGCTGCAGAAACAGAATAGAAATGTGCTCCAGCACCACATCTGAAATTGATCATAAGCACTGCTTCATGTGTGATAAAATACAGCTGTGGAAATGCCAGTCAAATGTTACAACAGATTAAATTCTTAAAAAATACTGAACTTAATCCTAAAAATAAGAATTGTTATAGATTCAACCCTCTGAGCAATGCATGTAATAATGTGACAAAAAAAGTGGCCCACACCACATCTCAGTGATAATGATATCCTATTGTGCTATTCAACTCTCCAGTGGAACTTATGTATAAGACTTCCTGGTGCAACGTAATTAGTATACTCTGTCCTTTCTCGTGGATGGATCATGTTTCCACCACTGTAAAAAATCCTGCTAGTCAGCCACCAGCAGAAAGCAACTGCACAGTCTACCATGTGGTTTCATTTACAGATAAATGGTTCCACTAACTTTTGGAGAACTAAACTGACAGTTACTGAAGTGTGTGTGTGTATCTGTGCATTTGTATTTGTGCACTCCTGTGCATAATGTTTAGTACTTCACACCCACACACACAGCAAGAAATTGGGGGAATTTTCCAAATGGGCTGTTTTTGTCCTTCCTCACTGAGCAGAAGTGACATGGTCACTGAAGTCTATCTTTACGACTGATGTTTTAATTAATGTACTGTGGGTTCCTAGTCAGTCATCAGGACCCTGAATGCTACTAGGTTTTGCATTTAGGATGGCTGAATGTCCTTCACTCACCTGCAGGATGTCCTGGTTGATAGCAGCTTCCATGGCAATAGCTGGCTCTGGAGGTGGGGGTTGGGCTGTCTCCCCGCTAACCTGTTCAGACAGCTCTAGAAGTTGCTGGATGACATCCGTCACCCCCTCACCACCCTCTGAACCTCCTGGAGCCTGGCCTGTCACCTCTGCCTCCTACGGAAGAAGAAGAGGCGGAATGGAAGGAGAAAGAAGGAAGAAAGAAAATGAGGACCAAGATGACAAACGGCTATCCGATAAAAATCAGGACAGGCCATAATTTGAAATGTTTATTAGAGTTCTGTGGAGCATAAAATAGGCAAAGCACTGGGTGTCACTGGTGTAAGTCAGTGCCTGCCTATGTCTCAGTCCTTTGTTATTGGGAGCACTGTTAATAGGACTTGAGTGCAGACTTGAGAGAAGTTATGGCAGCACCATGTCAATAAAAATAGGCAGAGATATTACCGACATGGGGACTAAAGCAAAGTATACTGTCAAGTATGACACCAAGACTTCTTTATCTGGGGGGAAATTGTCGAGCCCAGCACCAGACAGGCATTCCAACAATAGTGATTGGAAGATGATATCAAAGGTGGCACTGAGGTCAAGGAGGATGAGGAAGATGCATCTGCTGCAGGAAGGAGATCGTTAGTGGTGAGTGACAAGGGCTGCTTCGGTGCTATGTTTGGAACAGAAACCAGACTGCAATGGCTCAAAATTGCTCTTGCTACATACTGTAAGTGGGCTTGAAGTGAAATTCAGACAGTGGCTATGTTAACATACTGTATAGAGAGTAAGCCTTTAAATGTACGTGTGCATATTTGGCAGGAAGCATTTTAAGCATTTACGCATTTTCACTAAACTACATATGAGCGATTAATGACCAGATAATAATAACACATTATTTCCACTGCAGAAAAGAATGGAGAGCATTGTAGGGAAGATCAGGCTCCAATATACAGTTTGGAATCTCTGCCAGGTTAAATTTGGCAGAAGATCTGCATGACTGCTTTAAGACAGAAGGGAAATTGCTCAACAGCATAAGATTGGAGGAGAGTGCTCAGTGCAAATGAAGCCAAAGCTTATAGAGTTTTGGCTGTGAAACATGGAGGAAGTAGTACAATGCCAATAGAGAAAAAATAACCAGCACTGTTATCTCTAAAGCAAAGGATTAAAACTTCTGTTTTTTTAAATAAGCAGCAATCCTCTCTTATGACAGTGTATTAGAGGGGAATAAAAGCCTGATTTTTGACAAACACCAGCACTTATTTCACAATTACAAGTCAGTTGTCTTTAAGTAATTTTTTATCTCTTTCTTTAATTGAGTTAGAGACACTTAAAAGGGAAAAAAATAATAATTTCAAAATGACATTGTCTGGATTTAAGCAGACATGACAAAATAAATCAAACCAGCAACATTTAGGCCAGAGAAACCTTTACAGTGCCTTGCGAAAGTATTCGGCCCCCTTGAACTTTGCGACCTTTTGCCACATTTCAGGCTTCAAACATAAAGATATAAAACTGTAATTTTTTGTGAAGAATCAACAACAAGTGGGACACAATCATGAAGTGGAACGAAATTTATTGGATATTTCAAACGTTTTTAACAAATAAAAAACTGAAAAATTGGCCGTGCAAAATTATTCAGCCCCCTTAAGTTAATACTTTGTAGCGCCACCTTTTGCTGCGATTACAGCTGTAAGTCACTTGGGGTATGTCTCTATCAGTTTTGCACATCAAGAGACTGAAATTTTTGCCCATTCCGCCTTGCAAAACAGCTCGAGCTCAGTGAGGTTGGATAGAGAGCGTTTGTGAACAGCAGTTTTCAGTTCTTCCCACAGATTCTCGATTGGATTCAGGTCTGGACTTTGACTTGGCCATTCTAACACCTGGATATGTTTATTTGTGAACCATTCCAATGTAGATTTTGCTTTATGTTTTGGATCATTGTCTTGTTGGAAGACAAATCTCCGTCCCAGTCTCAGGTCTTTTGCAGACACCATCAGGTTTCCTTCCAGAATGGTCCTGTATTTGGCTCCATCCATCTTCCCATCAATTTTAACCATCTTCCCTGTCCCTGCTGAAGAAAAGCAGGCCCAAACCAGGATGCTGCCACCACCATGTTTGACAGTGGGGATGGTGTGTTCAGGGTGATGAGCTGTGTTGCTTTTACGCCAAACATAACATTTTGCATTGTTGCCAAAAAGTTCGATTTTGGTTTCATCTGACCAGAGCACCTTCTTCCACATGTTTGGTGTGTCTCCCAGGTGGCTTGTGGCAAACTTTAAACGACACTTTTTATGGATATCTTTAAGAAATGGCTTTCTTCTTGCCACTCTTCCATAAAGGCCAGATTTGTGCAGTATACGACTGATTGTTGTCCTATGGACAGAGTCTCCCACCTCAGCTGTAGATCTCTGCAGTTCATCCAGAGTGATCATGGGCCTCTTGGCTGCATCTCTGATCAGTCTTCTCCTTGTATGAGCTGAAAGTTTAGAGGGACGGCCAGGTCTTGGTAGATTTGCAGTGGTCTGATACTCCTTCCATTTCAATATTATCGCTTGCACAGTGCTCCTTGGGATGTTTAAAGCTTGGGAAATCTTTTTGTATCCAAATCCGGCTTTAAACTTCTCCACAACAGTATCTCGGACCTGCCTGGTGTGTTCCTTGTTCTTCATGATGCTCTCTGCGCTTTAAACAGACCTCTGAGACTATCACAGTGCAGGTGCATTTATACGGAGACTTGATTACACACAGGTGGATTCTATTTATCATCATTAGTCATTTAGGTCAACATTGGATCATTCAGAGATCCTCACTGAACTTCTGGAGAGAGTTTGCTGCACTGAAAGTAAAGGGGCTGAATAATTTTGCACGCCCAATTATTCAGTTTTTTATTTGTTAAAAAAGTTTGAAATATCCAATAAATTTCGTTCCACTTCATGATTGTGTCCCACTTGTTGTTGATTCTTCACAAAAAATTACAGTTTTATATCTTTATGTTTGAAGCCTGAAATGTGGCAAAAGGTCGCAAAGTTCAAGGGGGCCGAATACTTTCGCAAGGCACTGTATAATATGGCAGTAAACCATCACTGTTACTTGAGACGTATTACAAGTATAATCTCTCTCTGTGGTTGAAAACACAGCCTACCATACAAATCACATCTAATTGTTCACCAAGAACTCTAGCAACATTACCCAGCAGGGTCAAGAGACTCAGTTAATTAGAGTATATTCAAAGCAGATGTTGGAGACAAAAAGTGTGACAACCTTCTGGCTCCTGTCTGCTGCATGCTGCTCTCTTACCGGAGTGTTAGAGGGAACCTCAATCACAGAGATGTGCATCTTACTGATGTGAGCGTTCAGACTGCCCAGCTTCTTAAATACACAGCTACAGTCCATGCATGGGAACAGTGGTACACCTTTAGTCTGTAAGAGAATATAACAAAACATGAACAATGGTTTAACTCACACACATTGTAATCTTATTCCCAAAGTGTCTTGCTCAGTAATTCCTGACAACCTTATCACTATCACACCTGTAAAGGTACCGGTACCCTTCTCTCTTCTATCCACAGGGCCTTCTAAAGAGAAAGTTACTCACCCACCTGATGACAATGCCTCTCTGAGCACACCTAATATTAATGAAATTAATTTTAAGCACTGTCATGAGCGTCACCTTTTACGTACATTTTTTATAAGTCATTTTTCTGGCATTTGCCTTTATTATTATAAATTAATGGGGAAAGTAGGCTGTGAAGAGGCAGAGAGGAGAGAACCCGTGACATAGGTCGACAGCCAGACTCAAACCACCAACGTCACGTACACTATGTGCTTGCGAATATGGTGCCCCCACTGTAACCATTTGGCTATCAGGGCGCCTGCCTTTTACATCTAAATATAAGGAGTTTGCTTACATTTTGTAAATGTGTTAGTGAGTGAAAGTCTTCCCCACATTTTTATTCTTACAGAGACCTGGCTCAGTGTTACAACATCCAAAATGGTTCTAAGTCATTTAATGAGAACAGGAAAACTTAAAAAAAAGGTGGTGTACTGATTTACGCTCCATCACTGCTGAAGAAATGTGATTATATTGCTTTGGATATCTGTTGGATGTGAGAGCCACTGTCATTGGCATCTATTTTTTAAATACAGTAATGATCATAATATCTATTTTATTATGCACTAATATATACCATCCCCCTTAAGCTACATTTACCTTCAGACTGTAAATATGCTACTCAAGGAAAATATTATTTAGGAAAAATGTATGTTTCAAGGTCTGCCGATCTTCATAGTAAGTGTCGGCAGCGGGTATAGTTCAGTGCTTTTACAACTACTGAATCTGAAACTGGAATAAGGCAGGGTTAACTTTTGGACAGAAAACTGTGGAGCTTGCTCAGTTTGTTTTGGAGGAGTTTAGTGGAAGCAAATATACAGAGCAGGTACAGGGACACTGACAAGTGCATGAATAATAGCTTGACATTCAAACCCTAAAAGACATCCATAACAGAATGGAAGTAAGGTGAGTGGGAAAAGGTTTTATGATAAAAAAAAAAGTCAAAAACCTTTTAGAAATGTGAGAGAAGAAAACACAAAAAGTAATGAGGACGTTTTGTTGTTGTTGTTTTTTTACAAGGATCAAAACACAGATGAAGTAAAAGGCAAGTGCCAGTGGACAGGAGTTGCTGTGATTGCTTTACCAAGTGGTCCAGAGTCACCAGACAGGAGGCAACTGGGGTATATTTGTGACAGTGTGAGGGCATATGAAGGAGCTCCAGTAAGGGGCTATCAGTGCTGTGATGACGGGTATGTTTCAGCAGGGTTAAGGATGAGTGCACACAGAACATATAAAAAAAGATGCAAGGACACAGGACAAGTGTCACTTCTCATGGGATCAAGATGTGTTTTCACAGTAGAGGTAATGATGAAGTGAGAACAAAGGCCTGGCC